CCCTAAGCGGCCCTGAACTTTCCCACATGGCCCAGTCCCTGGCATTCACCTGAGGTATCTGATCCATCCCAGTATAATCCTTTTAACTGCCCTTTAGCTGGGGCTCTCCAGCCACTTAACTCCTTCTATTGTCTGCACCTGGCCCCACCCCAGGCTACTTGCCACTCCTTAATCCCATCCAGATTTTTCCATGATCTTTCTGTATAAAATATCAATCTTACCCTCATCAATTGTGTGGATTCCTTAAGAATCCCACCTGCTTCTATTGGTGACACAATAAACCTTGTCTTGAACTGAAAGAGGGCTTGAGTGGTTGAATTCTTTCCAGGGTGGATTGTGCCCTATACCCTTGCATTTCAGGGTTCCCAAGACCCATAGATCAGATTTAACCTTATATTTTAGCATATTCTACTATTTTAGCATACTTTTTGCCATGTTAGTTAATGTATTGCTGTGTTAGAGGAAGATTTGTCTCACCAAAGAATAAATTGAAAAAATGTACATGATTATAAGAAGTAGGCCAAGGTATTGGGAATATGAGTTTGAGATTGAAGACTCCAAGACTGGGGCACCATGTGGAAACTTAGATGATTAGTTTTATTACTATTAATATATTATATTATTAAAATAATATAGTTTGACTATTTAATAATATTTTTCATTTATGTAGGATTTTAGGGTTAGAAAGCTAATAGAGTTGGGAAACTAAGGTTTCATTCCAAACTTTGCTACTTGATTATGTTACCTTGGATAAGTAATTTAATCTCAAAGGTCTTGGTTTTTTATCTGTAAGATGACCTATACAGTCCTATTTGGCTCTAAATCTGTAATCCTATGATCTTTTGTGTGATTCACCATTTTGCAGATGAAGAAACAGAATCAGAGAAGTTAAGCTATTTACCCAAGGTCATATGGCTACTAATTGACAGGGCCAACTGGGACCCATGCCTGAATTTTTCTCTTTCCAAGTCCATTGCTCTACCCACTATACTCAAAATACAGAAATTCAGATTTTCAGTGGGGAATCTAATATTAACATTCCCCATTTTGACACTGCTGTCTTTAGCATAAAAAAGAGAATGAATTATGTGGTGGATTTTAATAAAATCTGATAGCCTCAAATCCATATTCACAAAATGGATAAGTTAAGGACTACTGATTAGCATTACAAAAGCATGATTTTGCTTTTATAGAAGGATTCATAGGAAGCTCCCTTAAACCGTATTTGCACAGCAAAATGCACAACTTCCCTAGTGTATTTAAAATAAGATTCAGTTTACTGTAATTCAGCTTACTTTCATCCTTTCAGGAACACAGCAATTGCATAATAAAGCCCAGTGTACCTGTTAACTCAACCAATAAATGCAAACCAATGGGAAGGAAAAATGTGCTTTTCTGGAGATTGTCCCATTCAAAGTGTAGAGAAATCCAAGTATCCAGGCAGCTTCCTATTACTCAGGGATGTATAGCTAGCCAGTGAGGCCTCCTGAACTTCTCTGCCCTGGGGCCCTTAGAAGCCATTCTGGGCTCTTCTCTGCCCCCCCCCCCCCACAATTGACTGCAGATCAAACTGGGGAGCTTGCAGAGGTGGAGCCTTCTCCACTCTCCAACTTCCTTCTTGTGTTAAATGGGCTTTCATAATTCTCCATAGCCAATGCCTCCCACTCCCTGCCTGCCTGTAGCCATGTGTATCACCTTTTTACTACTGTTCTCCCATCTTTTACTCTCTTGGCCTTTCTACAACCTTCTTTCCTTCTTGCCCCAACTCTGGTCCTCTCTCCTTGCCTCCTCTTTCCTTACCTCTCTCTCCCATTCTACATGACAGGACCTTTCCTTTTTATCCTAAACCATACCTCTGGCTCCTAGGTCAACTGTGAACACCCAGTATTACAATGGTGCCTAGGAACAGTAACACTTTGCAGAAGGACTCCAGATGCATGTGGGAAAATAGTTAATTAGCTCTTACAGAAAGTAATCATCACAACCTTATTTTCTTGAAACAGGACCATATAGTCACATGAAGGAAGCCATTTCAGAGGAATCAGACCAGACTTTCAGGCACCTCACCCTCTGGCTCCAGAGTCATTATATCAATCCATTAGGCACCCCAACCCTTGCCTGTGCCACCTGTTCCTTCCATGACAAATAAGTAGAGATTCACAATTGAGTTAAAAAGAAATAGACACATACCCTTTTGTCAGAGTAGGGATGCTGTCCGCAGTCTCTTGGCCTACAGACTGGTTTTATGGAAAGTGTGACTGGTAAGCAAGGGCAGGTACAATAAGGTTATGAGTAGATACCTCTGCCTCCCATAGCAATACCTTCTCTATCCCACAAAGAAGGACATGCCAAACTTAATTTTAAAAAGAGAGGAAGTTTGTTTATTGAATTCAGCTTCAGTATGGTATAGTGGGAAATGTATTGGTTCTGGAGTCTAGAAGACCTTGATTCAAATCTTGGCTCTAATCACATGTGGCCTTAATGGAGTCATTTCATCTCTCTTATCCTCGGATGGGGGGGGGGAGAGAAAGAATGAGACAAAGACAGAGAGAGAGAGATGAATTAAACAATCTTTAAAGGTCCTTTTCTCTAATTCTGTGATCTCATGTGGTTAGCAAAAGTATTCAGCTATATTTAACACTTTCTGCAAAAGATTTGTATCATCATTTATTTGCCCAGAATTCATATTAATCCCAGGAGGGAATATCAATAAATTAACCAACAAGTACTTATTTAGGACCTACTCTGTGCTAGGCAGTGTTTGAAGTGCTGGTATAAAAAGACAAAAATAAAATGGTCCTTACCTTCTAAGAGCTTGCATTCTACCGAGGGAGACATGCATAAATAAGTACAGTCTTCATAAAATATGGTCTCTTTTCTTCTAAGTTCTTGACAATTCTGCCCCTTATGGAGGCACAGAGAATTGATTAATCATTCTCTACCTATGGGAAGAGCTCCTGGGCAAATAGGCTTGAGTCTAGAGTTACATATATAAAATAACTATAAAGTAATTATTTTGGAGGAGTAGAGTATGGGCAGCTTGAGAGACCAAGAAAGGCTTTATACTATGCTTCTTAAACTGCGGGTTGCAACCCCTTAAAATGTGACTACAGTGAAAGGTCTCCGAATGCGCAACAACCAAAAATTAATTAAAAATCAAACATGTAATGAACCCGAGGTGTTTCCTAGCAGTGCTTTCCCATGTTGCATTGCACAACTTCACTGCAGCCTTGGTTCTCAACACACAGTATGCCTGTTTTGCTCTGTGCATGCTCTGAAGACATGCAATGCCAATGAATGTTGCCAAAACCTGAAAAGGAGTCACTAGTGGAAAAAGTTTGAGAAGCCCTGAGTAGAAGGCTTCTCCTAAACAGAGTTTTAAGGGAAACAAGGCATTCTGAAAGGTTGAGATGAGGTGGGACTGCATTCCAAGCATGGGGTACATCTGGTACAAAGGCTCACAGATGAGACATTATGGAGTGTCACGTATAAGAAACAGCAAGAAGGTCGGCTTGCCTCAACTGTACATTGTAGGAAGGGGTTATGCATAATAAGATTGGAAAAATAGGATGAGGTCAGATTGTGAAAGACTTTATAAGTTAAACTGAGAAGATTTTATTTGGCCCTGGAGTCAATAGACAATTCCCATTGCCTCAATTCCTCATCTGTAAAATGGGGACACACTGGAGAAGGAAATGGCAAACCACTCCAGCACCATGGAGTCGTGGAGATTTGGACATGACTGAATGACTGAGTAACAACAACAGAATCAATAGGGGACCAGTGGAATTTATTGAACAAGAAATCTGCACTTTAGGAAAATCACTCTGGGCAGCTTTGTGGAAAACGGATTGGAAAGGAGAGACGAGAGGCAAGGAGACCAAATTAGGAGGCTTTTTCAGTAATCTAAGCCAGCGGTGGCAGACTCAAATAGGAATGGAGGCCACTGAACCCAACAGAAGGATTCCTATAGGAGCATATTGACTTAGAAAACCACATATTAACATTATTTTATATTTCTATTATACTTTTATTCATTTTGTTAAATATTTTCCCAATTACATCTTAATCTGGTTGGGCTGCACTCAAGAGTCTTGAATTGGCCTGTGGGTTATGTTTAATACTTGGTCTAAGTGAGAGGTGAAGGGGGCTTGAACTAGGGTTGAGAGTATGTAAGCAGAGAGAAGGGAATGAACACAAGAGATCTTATGGGAAAGGGTGGGGGGAGAAATAGCAAGTTTTGGCAACTAATTGGATATATGTGATGAAGGAGAGTGAGAAGTCAAGAATAACACCAGGGTTGCAAAACCTGGATGACTAGAAAGATGATAGTACCCTCTTATAGAAATAGAGAAGTTGGCAAAGGGGCTGTTTTGCAGAAAAGATAATATGTTCAGTTTTGAACATCTTGAGTTTGAAATAAGGTGGAGTTAGCCAGGCTGAAATATGTATTGGGTAACCAAAGACAGACAGCTAGAACTCAGGAGAAAGACGTGGTCTGGAGATGTATGTGAGGACGTGATCTGCGTAGAGGTGAAGACTCTGAGATGAAGACTATGAGAGAGTGTAGGAGAGAAGAGGACCCACTATTTTTGAAAGTGGGGCAACTTGTTGACCTCCAAAGATATTTGGGAAAATGTGCTTTTTAATATCATGTTAATAATAATATATAGCTCCTTTTATTTCCAGATTTTACAATTAAGGTTCCTTTTTCAATGACTTGAGGGGACCTTAGAAACCATCTTAGTTCGGTAGTATTAAACTCAAATAGAAATGAGGGCCGCTAAATCATACATGAGGATTCCTGGAAGTAGCTATTGTTTTGAAAACCACATATTGACATTTTCTACATAATATGGTATTTTTCTTTATATTTGTTAAACATTTCCCAATTATATTGCTAATCTGGTGCTTGCAGCAATCAGAAGTATTGTAGACAGCATGTGCCCTTGGCCACAGGTTTGACATCTCTGATCTATTCTACTTCCCTCCATCTCCAGGTGAGGAAACCAAGGCCGAGAGGGAAGCAGTATCCATTGTAACATCAAACAACTTTCTAAAAAGGTATTATTAATTATCATATATACTCAGAAGCCCAGTTAAGGGAAACCACTAACAGTTATTCAGTAGTTTTTCCTCTTGGAGGCTAACATATACCCCAGGAATACTGACACTCACACCCCAGTTCTTTCCCATAGCACAGGTGCTTACCTTTTATGGGATTAGAATCACCTAGGTGACAGAGTGGCTAGAAAACTAGGCCTGGAGTCAGGAGAACCTGAGTTCAAATCTGGCCTCAGACACTTACTAAATATATGACCCTGGGCTAGTCACTTAAGCTAGTTGTCTCAGTTTTCCTACTGTAAAATGGGATTAATAACCGTACCTTGCAGGGTTGTTGTGAGACTCAAATGAGATAATATTTGTAAAAGTACTTAACATGGTGCTTGGTACACAGTAGACACTACAAATGCTTATTTCATTCTATTCCCTTCCCTTTTTGGGTCAGGAACTTCTTTGGCAGTCTAATGGACCCCTTCTTTGAATAATGTTTTTAAATGTGTAAAATTAAATACATAGGACAAAAAGAAAACCAGTTATATTGCAATAAAGATCAATCCTTCCCCACCATCCAGCCTCACAAACCTCCTGAAACCTGTCCACAGACCCCAGGTTAATAACCCTTGCTATGGACTAGTTACTCTCTCTTGCTCATTTCACTTTCCCTGTGTCTCACAGCCAATGTCTTCCAAGTGCCAAAGGCCTTCAGCCTGCCAAGCTGCTTAGGGGAATGTCCATTCCCCTTCCACCTTGAGTTTGGTTCTGTGAAGGTTTCCTGTTCTCCCTCACCCTCCTCCTGAAGCCTTAGGCATCTGCTGACTTTTGTTTTCTATGGGAAAAAAAAAAAAGCACTGGTGTTCTGAAAAACACAGTGTTCCCCATTGTGTCTGGAATCACAGCCTCTGAGAGGCTGTAGGTAAATAAGGGCTGGAGCAACCACTTTATTATGAGTGAATAGATTCATAGAAATGAACTTTAATGAAAAGGTTTCCTGTACCAGCAACTGATAGGAGAGAGAAACGAGATCAGGCGAGTGCCCCATGAGCCTGTTTCCCTATTGGTTTGTCTACTCAGTCAGACAGACTTTTTTTTTCTTTTCTCTGTGAAAGCATGTAACTTTTAGATACTAACACTTTTATTTTTGTCTCTGTCTTCTACTACCACCCTCTCTCCCTCTTGTGATGTTTCTCCCATAGGAAATAGCATCAAAGTGATGGAAAGGTGGAGTTGGTGAATTATCTCAGAGCCCCTCTCAGAATAGGGCAGGGGAAGAAGCATAGGCATAGCCAGAATTTTTTTCCCTTAAAACATGTATTCTAATAAATTCAATAATAGCAAAAAAAAAAGATGAAAAACCAGACAGTTTTGCACATGTTAAAATCATCTATTTTAAATTAGAATAATTTAGAATATATTGTGGCATGATAGATGGAGAAATGACTTTAAAATCAGGAAGAAGAGTTCAAGTTCAGCCTTTGACCCATAATGACTGTGTGACCCTGGACAAGTCACTTAACCCCTCACTGCTCTAATACAGTAAATTGCAGAGAGCGTGCTGACCCCATTAGATTGTGAGCTCCTTCAGGGCAAAGACTATCCTTTGTCTTTCTTTGTATCCATAGAACTTGGCACAGTTCTTGTAGTAGGCACTTAATGTTTGCTGAACCTGAATTAAAGGGAGCTTACTCCTTAGGAGTCCTAGTACCTGTGAAATCACAGCTCTGGTCCTTCAAAATTTTTAGGATTAAGGAAGATGGGAGGAGGTGTTATATCATAAACAATTATGGCTTATAATGTTAGCTTTGCTATGCCAGGTGAAATTTTAAAGAAAATGTAAGTTAAAATGTACCACTCGTTGTGACGTTGTTGACATTGAGTTGACTTCAATTCATACCGAAAGGATTTGGAAGAAGAGATTTTGTAACAAGGTCAAAGGAAAGAGAATGTGTGTTTAAAACTGAGACATGTCTTTCTCACTTCTCTGCTGGGTTTTGGGTTGTTTGTTTGTTTTTTTTCTTTTAATCTAATTCTAGAATCCAGTTGAATCCAACAAACATTTATCAAGCTTCGGTTACTCTGTGAAAGGTGCCGGAGATACAGAGATGAAACAAATAAACAAACTCATTCTTGCCCTTGGGGAGCTTACCTTATACTGAAGAACTAGAACATGAAAGCTGATAAGTAGATGCAGAGTTATCTAGAGAGAAATGAGAATGCTAATACTTACAGGGTTATCAGATGTGGCACATGAGCTGAGCCTTGCAGAAAACCAAAGCTTCTCAAAGGCAGAAGTAAGGATAGTATATATATTCTTGATTGTGGGGGGTGGGTGGAGAGAGCAGGGGGAGGAAACAGCCTGTGCCAAGACAGAGTAGCAGGATTGGAAATGCTCATTTTGGGAAACATTTAAAGGTAAGTCAATTTAACTGGAACATAGATGAAATGAAGGGAAGCAATGCTTAATAAATTTGGAGGAGTATAATAGAATCCCATCATGAAGGACATTACATGGCACCTGTGGAATTTGTATTTTGTCCAGGAGGCAATGGGAGCCAACATAGCTTCTTGAACAGAGGAGTGACATGATTGGGCTTGTGTTTTAGGCAGATTATTTTGTCAGCGGTGGGAAGGATGGATTAGGGAAGGGAAAGATAAACACCAGTAGTCCTGTTGCCTTGAAACAGAAGCAAAGGTGTTACTTTTAAAAAGTTTGCCAGTAAGTTGGAGTTAGGCACTAGTTTGAAGTTAGGTATGAGCAAGCATGGGTTGAAAAAAAAAAAAAAGATGGTCAGGTATAACTCCAGCCCCCAAAGTCATGAGGAAGACTTTTCCTTGGCAGTTAATAGGGAAGCAGCAGGACATTTCTGACATGCTTATTTGATAGATCAGAATTTAAACATGTTTCCAAGTTGGAAAGGTTTTAATTTCAACAAAACCTTTGAGAAAAGTTAATCTTATACTCTACAATATTTAAAATGAAGAAAATATTCTAGGGTATAAGACTCTTAATTTTCTTTTAAATGTTAAGTTATGGTCAAGGAAGGAGGATAAGTGGGTAAGTGAGGGTCTGTTAGTACTGGGGATGGACCATACGGGGATGAATGGCAGCAAGAGACTAGATTGACTGTCTGGGGTAGAGTAAACTACCTAAGGAAGGCCTACCAGCTGGGCCTAGAAAGGAGACTGGGGCATCAGAGTGAGTATGGTAGGCAACCAGCAGAAATCTAGGCAGGTAGGCAGTCAGTATAATGGAGGTTGAGTGTCCCAACATATGGAAGGAACACAGCATTAGGGGACTCTGGGAATTGGCAGTAGACTGAAGTCTTGCTAGGCAGGAATTTGATATAGATTGGACTAGCAGCAAAAGGGAAGAAGGTCCTGGATGAGACCTGTGATCTGGACCAGGCTACCTGTCTTTGCTGGATACCAGTAAGAGCAGCAAACTGACCTGATTCTGAAGGAACTGGGCTATAGGGCAGGTGGGAACTTGGACACCAGAGATCCAGTATGGAGCTGGGGTATAAACTGAGGGTTTGATAATGGACAAAGCCAGAGTCTAGTAGTTAGAAATGCAATGCAAGGCATAGGAGCAACAACAGTAGTTGTTCTAATGGCTGGATAAGTGTTTCTCTTCCTTGGATACTGGATGTAGAGCTGGAAGGGACCTTAGGAACCATGAAGTCAAACCTGTTCATTTAATGGATGAGGACATTTGAGACACAGAGAGGTTAAATGATTGGTCTAGGGTCACACAGATGAAATACATTTGGGGCAGGATATGAACTCATGTCTTCTTGGCTCAAAATCTAGTGCCCTGTCCACTATCCTACTCCACCTGTCTTTAAGATCATTAAATCTTAAATTAAAATAAAAAAATAGAGCAGTTTAATCCAAGCTCCTCAGCCATAGAAATCCTCACTTAACTCTGACAAATTTCATTCAGTGCCAATATTCTTTCTTGGGTATCAAGAAATGATGTGAACTTTCCAGAAAGTTGCTTCCTGGGCCTGTAGATACTTCCCTATTATTACTGTAATCTTCACAGAGTAGGGCAGAGGCCTTGGGGGAAGGGAACCCCTACAATGTCTTCCAACCTGGGTACTAGTTTTGACTATATCTTCACTGAGTGATTATATCTCACTTTTCACCTTTGTAAAATACAGTGATCAAACATGTAAGGATTTTTAAGAAGTAATTAAAGTGCATGGAACTATTAGGTAGTATTTCTGATAAAAACAATAACAAACTATTAAAGTTTACTAAAGTTTGTATAGGTAATAATCTTTTAGATTAAGGCATTAAGATAGCTAAAGTAAGTTTGGCCTTAGGACAAGGTATCTAATTTGGGTTTGACTGTGCCATAATTCTGATAAGTGTAGATAAGCTAGAAATAGAACCTGAATCATTCTTTTCAGTCAAATCAGCAACTTTGGGAATGGTGCAATTGTTATTCAGTCATTTCTGTCACCTCCTATTCTTCGTGACCCACTTTGGGGTTTTCTTGACAAAGATATTAGAGTGGTTTGCCATTTCCTTCTCTAGTTCATTTTACAGATGAGGAAACTGAGGCAAACAGGGTTAAGTGACTTACCCAGGGTCACACAGCTACTCAGTGTTTGAGGCCAGATTTGAACTCAGGTCTTCCTGCCTCCAGGCCTGGCACTCTATCTACTGTACCACCTAGCTTCCCACAGCAGTACAGTATAGGGGTTCTCAGCTTTTGTGACATGGATCTACCCGGCACTCTGGTGAAACCTGGGTACCCCTTCTTAGCATCATTTAAAAAAAAGAAGTGAAGGAAGTACTCCAATTTACTTAGAAGTTAGTGAAAATAAAGATGTCATTTTTTTTTTTCTCCATCCAAGTTCACGGATCCCAGGTTAAGAACTCCTGTTACAGAGGGATATGTGCTGGTTTATTTTTAGAACCCAGGTTCAAATACCATCCCTGCCACTCACTAAAAGTGTGACTTTGCATAAGTTCTTAAGCTCTCTGGGCCTCAG